CTCTCTCAAAAAAAAAAAAAAAAAAAAAAAAAATCTATAGGAATCTAATTAAAATAACTCCTGAATTCATTTGATAAAAAGTTATACGCGTCCAAAGTCGACGAATTTCCAGGGTTTTTGGCAAGTTAGCACAATTTTTATTTTGCATTAAGCTTCCTAATCGAGTTATGATACCGTTGAAATTATGATTTGTGAGGGCATTTAATATTTGATTAGCTCTCGAATGATAAATTTGGAGAACTCATAATTACAACTGAGAACTGATTATTAGATGCTAGAAAAAAATTCGTATGGTTCTTCTGTCGACAGTGAACTTACACATTCGTTTTCAACGAATCCTTATCGTAAGAATATACACAGCCTTGAAACAACTGTGCCATCGAATAAGAATGCTTATGGAGCTCGTTACCAACGGAGTACTTTAAAAACCTCGTTAACTTCTTGCCGTACTTTAACGATTCTGACTCGCGATGGTAATTTCTAGTAATAACCTGTTAAGTACGAATGTTATTTCGTTCTTTTCAGATTTCTTCTAGTAGCTTTTTTCTTTTCCTAAAAAATTATTACAATGGAAAAAGTTCCAATCATTATAACTGTGAAGAGAATGATACGGCAAGGGATCAAAAGTATGTACTACAAAGTAAACGAGATTCCTTACAACATTACATAGTTGCATCATTATACTATAAATGAATTTTAATGCTTTTCTTGAACTTTTAAAAATATTAACCCGTTGCACTCGGAAGCCGTTTCAACTCTAAATACAAAACAGCTCTTCTGACCTATAGCATTTCCATTTTATATAACTTGCTGCATTTTATGCGAAATTGAATCGTGTCACTCGTACAACAGTTTTATTTTGTAAAAGTGTTTAAACACAAATGTGTGGATAATTAAGTTTAAATACTAATAAAATAATAACACTAATAAATAATAAGTTTAAACACACAAGTGACACGAATGTGCGGATAATGTATCAATTACTAAATTAGACCGCCAGCTTTCGTCTTTATTAATTTCTACACTAAATCGTTTTGCATATGGGTTGCTTCAGATCGAGCTGATTGCATGTATAAAAATTATTTTTACGTACTAGATAATTCTAGTATTGTATGACTGAATAATCGAGGTTCTGACGTATAACAATTTTTATATTCGAGTGCAAAGTTTCTTTCTTAGCTATCTCTCGAATCTGATCAAGGCGAAATAAATGAAGCGAAACTACCTCGAAACGTTGGAAATGTATCGCGTTTTTAGATGTACGGTTTCTGAATAACAAAGACGCTTCTGATAGAGTAGAACGATCGTTGCGTTCGTCACGGGTCTCCACGACCCAAGCCGACGGTTAGCTGAGCAAGTTCCAGGAGGGCCGAATACCGGGAACTAAGGAGCGGGCATCAGCCCCACTGCGAGCGTTCGAACGCTCCGACATCCGGGCTTCGTACTAATTATCCGGTTCGCCTTGGAATACTTGCTAGCTCGGACGACAATGATGCAACCACCTCGAGCCTCCTCACCTGAGCGAGAAGCCTGTCGTAATTCTCGGTCGAGTAGAATCGTTGCACGTCGACCTTGGACAGATCGTTCGGGATGTGCAAGGCCTTCTTCAGGGACTGCTCGGTGGTGCCGCGGGCCCCAAAATACGCCAATCTAAGGGCCTGGTAGAGGCTGTGCGGACTGTAGAAAATGTTGTCCTGCGTCTCGATCATCGCGGTCTTCTTCAGGGTGTCCAACGCGAATTTGAATCGCGCTGCCGGCAAGGAGTTCTTCGCCCCGGGATTGCCCACTCCCGGGAAGTCGTTCGCTGTCAGACACTGCGACGACACGCTGCCGAGCAGGAACGGCACCGCCAACATCAACATTGCCTGGAAACATGACCATCGTTTAGCATATCTGAGAAAGCGTCCTGTTTTGCTTTCAGAGAAACTGTTGGTAATTGGTGTTACTGGGTTAGCTCATACACAATGTCCATCGTTTCTGGGGTCATTCTGCTGCGGACGGGACATTCCTTTGTCTCTTTGTTTTAGAAAAGATCACTCGAACGTCTGATTTATTAGCTGCGGAAATTTAACATTCGTCGGTGAATTTTCAAGCTTGCGTTATCTTTTGTACACGTAATAAATGAACGGTGAAGACGTTAATCGTATGTCATGTCAACACAAAATCTGCAAGACTGAAAGTTTCTAATCAAGAAGCTAAACAATATAGGATTACAATAAGATTAAGCAAATATGACGGTGTGGAAATAATTTTCTGAATGAACGGAAAGATATACAGGGTGTCCCAAACGTTGCTAACAATTGGGAAATGGGGGATTTCTGAAGTCGTTTGAAGTAACATTTTCCTACGAGTTAGGTCGAGTTAAGTCGGATTCTCGGTATTTTCGTATGCGCTGAGCTAATAGTATTTCGAAAGCTCGAATCGACGATCTTTCTAAACGGAAATATCGAATTTCCCGAGAAATGTGAATAAGAGACGGTCGCGTTCCGCGAGTGAATAGGCGGTGAAGCGATCGTGATTACGCAAACGGACAGAACGTAAAATGAAACGTCAAACGTAAATATGTATAACGCCGTGTGTAACGTGCATGCGTCACTTACACAAACGTAATTGCACCCTTCGAAGTATCCTCGTATGCCTCGTGTAATTTCCTGTACAATTGTGAAATTCCGCGGGCAAACGATATATTTCAATCATTTTCACGCCGCACCGTTATTGTCTGTCAGAGCCGACGCACACACGCGCCAATTGCCAAAGGAAATTCGAAAGCGCGAGTCGCACGCTTTTAAAGTAATGATCGTATAAACGGCGTCATTCAGCACGAAATATGTACTTGGCTTGACAAAACCAATTTCGTGAGCGAAGTTAATTCAACGTTTCGATTGTTTTAAGGCTGCAAAATCTGGTACGCGTCCAGTTATGGCTTTTTACAACGACAACGGAAGTTGCAGACATTTTGAACTACATTTTATAGTAACAATATCTTTTCAAACAAATTCATTTTGCCGACTTAACGTGCAGTTGCTGTTCATTTAATTTATAATGCAAACAATTCTGATTGTGTTATTGAAGTAAATTACATTCTCCTTAATTTCCCTTCAGCTTGTAAACAAAAATGGCAATTTGGAAAGAAGAGTTCGTTCGATGGAATCTTGTTTTTACAGTTGTTGGCAATCGGTGACTATAAAAACGAGTCGCGCGAGGCTCGAATAATCGGCAATAATAAATAATAAAGTAATAAATTATTATTGCCATTTGACATTCATATATTATTAGAATAATTATTTTAATAACAGCTGTTCCCCATTAATGTTCTTATTTCGCGTCGACAAATTGTCGACTTATTTCATCGACGCAGATATGTACATTTTATCAAGCTTTGTTCTCTCTATTAAGCTGTGCTAACATCAGACCGTATCGTGCCTGATTGTCCAGTCTCTCAACACACAATAGCGATTACTATACAATACCTTCCCAATCCGAGTACCCAAGACAATGCATCGAGTATATTCGTTTTTTAAAAAACGTAGACGCGTGTATCACAATACACGGGTATACCTAAATTTGTGTAATTATGACGTACCGATGTTAACGTGTTGCTGTACTAACAACTAATCTAAATCTTATGTAAACGTTTGTAAATATTATGCAAATCAAATGCGGTCTCCAGTGACAACGGTCCGAATGTTAGTGCGACCTTAAATGAAATAATTGACGGTGAAAAAACGTCGATACCGATGCGCGATGCTACAGTATTCGAACACTGAAACGACGAAAGTTGTATCATTTGTTCGTGCAACCGGAGATGCCATTGTATCGATAGCTTATCGATCGTGTGTGTCGCGTATCAGGAGGTGCCGCTTCGCGCGAGCACGTTTCACAGAGAAAGAACTTTCTCATCGTCGATCGGAGAAAGCGATGATGTGTTCTCCCGGCGAGAGAGAACCGAGCGAAGAGGAACAGCTTCGTTCTCTGGAACGCCGCTTCGTGTTTGGCTCCGTTTCGGTAACCGGCATAGCCATGACCCCTAAACGGCAGGTCGCGTGAGCTCGCGCGGTTCGTAATGCACACGAGGTCGACGTAATATCAGAAAATAAATCACCGAATGCGTCACCGCTATCTGTGACAATTTGATTTCGACCGTGGGACAAGTTTCGTGCAGGAATCACGCTCTAGTTACTGCGACAACGCGCCAAACAATCGCTACGAGATTATTTTGCGATTAGCTTTTATCGATGCGAGAATTAGAAGCCACGTGATCGGACTTTGCATTAATTGACTTAGCACTGTTGCTACCGAGACGTCTCGCGTCGTGTCAATCCTTCGTAAGTTCGGGGCCATTTCCTGTTTATGAATACATACTGCCGAATCTTTCGTTTCTCTGCGATCGCGTTGCAATCTCGTGCGCTACTTTGTAGAACTGGATGGACAACAGTGAACTGTAGCAAGAACATTTGTATATTTATGACAATAAGAGACGAAAATATTATGATGCCCAGTGACGGAACATTCCGCGAACTGAAAGATACAGAATAGAAAAAGAATTTTGTTAACGTTGCAATGGCAGATGTCAACTTGGAAAAGTACGTGTTATCTTGTTGCAATAAACGAACGCGTTTTATGTCGGGGACTTTGATCCGCGGGTTTCTCAGATAACAATTTTCTGCTCTCGCGTCCCGTTTGTGTTCGATTTCTTTAGAAACATCCGCATCTCGAACATTTTCATCCGTGGTAACATTCGATGCATGAAACGTGCACAGAGCGAACGCTTTCACGATTTCATCGCGTCTACAAGTGCGAAAGAGGACTGGCAATATTTTTTAAATGAAAACTCGAGGGTGTATTCTAGTGCGAGCCATCGAAAAGCTTCCATGTTATTACAAATCAATTTTTACAATAACAATGATTAACCTTTTCTTATTATTGTATTAGTTTTTTATTATTATTGTATCAAGTATTATTATCGATACGAGGAACTTTAAACAACCACGATATTGACAAATTAACTTGAAATTTTATGTACCTCTTGTGTCGCTAAAGTACAGAATAGAATTCATTAAAAATCCTTCTCTTTTGCATTTTTCTAAATTGAAAAACTTTAACATTTCTATTTCAAAGTGCTGCAACTTTCCAACTTATCGATATTTTTTGTTATCGATTTTAGATTCTGCTGTAAGCAAATTCTTGGTTACTTCTTGGATTCTTATTTCAAATTAACAAAGATGGCCTGAATCGCGGACCACGTGAGGCTACGATTCTTTTTTATAAGCGCGTTACTTGCAAAAGCATGTGGCGCCCCGGCAGTTTCTTTCAGTGAACAAAAGCTAAATGTTATCGAACTATAGTCCCATTCGGAGGGGGCAGAGATTCGATTGTTAATCTGTTATACGAACGAATTAATCTTCGACCTCGGATATACTAACTCATAATTGAACCACGATGACAGGACTATTATCAAGCGTATTTCCACTGCCATACGAACGCGTATTCTTATGCGTAAGTACACGATTAAATTGAAAAACAGAATAATTAACAAAACAATGAATTCTTGGTAACATCAAATAATAATTTTTGAGAACGACAAACGGAATAATTAACTGTTAATAATAATATTAAAAATGATAAAAATCGTTTTGTATCTCGTTTGATGTTAGATTACAGAAATGGTGAAAAAAAACGGCGAAATGGTGACTGTATACGTTTTCCCGCGTAATCAGTCGCAAACGTGACTCAAAGATCACAGAATCCTTAAACACGATGGTCGAGAGACAATCTCGAGTGAACCTCGGCTATCCGAACCGTCTCGTCCATCGACGTCCTCGGATAAACAAAGATCCGCTGTACTTCGAAGTAATCATTACAATTGGAAAAGTTCTAATCGTTTCGACTGTGAAAAAGGGGTTAACAACGAAGAACTGCTAATCGACGCAGCTGCGAAAGAGACCGTAGCGCGAGCAATTAATGCGACAATAAATAAGGCAAACGTTTGAAAGAGAAAAATGTGCGGTCAGAAAAGAAGGAGAGAAGTCGAGGCGAGTGAAAGCAACGGATAAACAAAGTTCCGCTGTACATACTTCGAAGTAATCATTACAATTGGAGAAGTTCTAATCGTTTCGACTGTGAAAAAGGGGTTAACAACGAAGAACTGCTAATCGACGCAGCTGCGAAAGAGATCGTAGCGCGAGCGATTAATGCAACAATAAATAAGGCGAACGTTTGAAAGAGAAAAATGTGCTGTCAGAAAAGAAGGAAAGAAGTCGAGGCGAGTGAAAGCAACGGACAAACCGTGACATCATAGAGTCCGACTTTCTTGTCTGAAATGAACGTGTGACAGGGCTCGTATGACGAAAGCAAGAGAAAACACCGCGCCTTCTGGCACGTTCCCGATAGGGCCGTCTAAGCACGTGGGAAACTCGCTGGATTATTTCACTCTAATAACACGTCGGGCAAACACAGCCGGCCACGGTTTTTACATAATTTCGTATGCACCGTTCCAGTTTTCGCTCGACGACGCTTCGTCGATCTAAATCGGCGAGCGTGTCGCACGCCGACAAATGGAAACAAAGCTTCCGCACTCGCGGATAACAGACATTACGTCAAACGTTTCGTAATCTTTTCTAATTTCCATGCCCCAACGTTTCATTAATCTCTCGCATCGAATGATTCGCACGATCAATCACACATGTACGTACATACTTTCGAAACAACAGCTGAGCGCTGTTAAAGCTATCTATTAGATGATTCATCCTGTCCGTCGGCTTTCTGCGACGCGCCACCCGGAATTCTTAATTCCTTCGGAACATTCTTGATGAGATCCGGTGAAATGGGGTATCTCGGTTTTCTATGAACGAACTTTATATTCGTTATGCGTACGAAAGAATAAAGAACTCTGAATCGTTCTTCGGTGGACGCAAATACGCTGTTTCAGATATTTAACCAGTTAACTGTGCTTGACGAGTATACTCGTCATGAAGAAGTGGCAGTATTTTGTGTCATGACGAGTATACTCGTCGCGCGTAAAAAGTAGCGACCATTGGCTATTCAAATTGTAATTTTAATAAAAACAAAAACATGTTCTCAAATTTCAGGATGTTTCGAATATTTTGAAGCCAATTCTACACGAAGGTGTTTAACATCGTTATAAAAATAAGATTAGAAAAGAATCGTGGTATTGGTGTTCGACTTGCAAAGTGCCATTATGTATCGTTCCTTGCTTCGCTGAATACCACTCTACAACAGCAATTTGAATTTTTAACTTTTATAAATATTTGATTTTTCCTCTGTCTTTTCGATCCAATATTTTAACAGCAACACTTACTTTGTGTTTGATGAATATACTCGTCTTTGCTCGATTCTCGTGACATATGCAGGTGCGCGCTCTAAAAAAAGGAGGCGTCACAGCTAACTGGTTAATTTCCAGTCGCCCAGTCTTTTTGGTAATACAGTTTCGTAGAAGTGTCTATACGCAATTTTCCGAACAAAACGTGATTCGTGAAATCGTTCCTAAAAGTTTACAAACGTCGGCAAGGACAGCCGCCGATACGTCGCGTGAATTCTTAATTCGATTACGTGCTCGGTTTACAGATCGTCAGGGAACGATGCAAGCGCGAACCGTGTAATCAACAACTGCCGCGCGAAGTTATGTTATGAGAAACGGTAGTTTTTGCGCGACGAAGATCGCCTTCACGCCTTCGTGAAAACGAGTATGATTTACGAATGACTATGTCGGCGGCGTTCTCCTCGGCGTTCCAGTAGCTGGGAATTCCACGGCTCATCGCTCAATTGTCTTTTTAAAGCCAATAAAATCAGCGAGACAGCCCGCAATAACTGCCCTTCGCGGTTTTGTAGAAACGGAGCGGGGCAGATCGTAGATACAATCTTTTTTTTCTTCGCTTCCGCGCGAGGAAACGAACAACCTCTTTATGTGACGAAATTGCACGGTTCACCGATGTGTCGGCTGATCGGAGATAAAACGTTTAACAACATGCTGTGAAAGCAATAACTGCGACAGTGTGCTTACATATGTAGCGGCACTGTTTGATTTGATATTGAACGTCGGCCGTAAATCATTTATAATTTTAGCACCCGAACGGCGAGCCTGTCTGAGAAAAATACAACCGCGTATGCTTCGGATCGTTTATAGTTTTATTTAACAATATGTTCGACAGATTTTTGTTTAATGTATTTGTTCTAGACACGTTGATTATTCCATGGACCTGAATGAAACTTACATCAATTTTGTCAGAAACTAGACAGTCGAATAACAATATATTTACACTCCGTTTGAATTGTTCTCGTCGAGCAGGCTTAGGTTATTGAAAATTATTGATTAGGTAATTACAGGAAGAAAAAACCTATAGAATGTTATTGCAGACGTTGGCAAAAATTCGTAGCGAGAAAGAAAAAGTCGGCGGAAGAAAAGATCTCATGCTACGTTAATCTTATCGCAGAAGAATTTTTTAGAGCCTATAGAATCCGAGGCCATGCTGTTGGTCATCTTTAGAGATCTTGCAAAAACATTTGGAACGTAAGAGCGTGTACTTGCTGGATAAAACATTTATTAATACAGAGCGCGATGTTTAATTGAAATATTAAATTACTTTGAGAAAGACAATATTATTTTTTCGATAATTTATGTTTGTAAATAGAATCGTTGAAAGCATGATGTAACAGTCACGAACAAACAGAAGCATAATCTGAAACTAATGCTTGCGTAGTTATTTTCTCTGCGTTAATTTATTGCAGAACGAAATATCGATTCCCTTATCACGAGCTTTATATAATTCGGAGCAGAAATAAACGCAACTGCGATAATTGTCCATTAAAAAGTGACTTTCTACGAGTTGATGTGTGCTGTTAACAAAATTCTTTGAAACACAAAATCCTTATTCTCACGGAATTAATTTCACATAAGAGAACACTGATATTCAAAAACTATTCTTAAAATTATTTAAAAACAAAAATAAAATTATATTTTCTCAAATATTCTTGAAAACATCCAGAGAGAGAAGATCTTCCTATTTTAATATTATGCATACTATTTTAAAATTAGCATATAACAGAGTCATTCATCTCTGATAAGAAAAACGAAGCAGAATTTTATGGATTTATAATAAAAAAATGAATATTTGCAACGTGGAACAGTAGAAACATTAAAAACGTTCGATAACGTCGATATTCTACGTTCAATCTACTGAAATTATTAAATAGAGAATGGAACTTCTGAGTTACTCTTAATTTTTGCACCGGCGAATTTATAACATTAAAAATGCATTAAAAAGTCGCGTTAAAAATAATCGACTCGCATAGTCGAGAATTCTTCAGGCCTTATTCTGCGATCTACATCGCGATTAGGATCACGAGGCTGGAATCATTGTTAACAATTCCCTGGCTAGATACAAAAGTTTCGAGAACAACTAAATTTGAATCCTTTACAATACATAATCGATTAACACCACCGTAAATATTAACACATCGACGGCCGCGCCGAAGCATCCCAAAATTTCATAGAATCCAAGTATCTCAGTCGATTAAAAATTAAACGTGCAAAACAAAGTTACACGACATCGATTACTATTTCAACGTTCTTACCCCTCTCGCGAACCTGAATAAAATGAAGAAATTCTCACGAATCGGGGCATGGAAATGAAATTTTCAATAATATCGTCGCCCGCGTACGCGGTGACGCGGCAATCGAAGTGTTAACGTTCTCCAAGACGCGCGGCTGAATTGTGTATCGAAATTAGGTTATCCTCCTTTTGTATTTATTCGATTGTTCAATGCCCGGGACCGCTTGTCAGTGCCCCCCTGCCAACAGCCATGAAACGGAGTCTCGACACCAATTGAATTCAATTCGAAGTCCACAGACTATACCTGACGCGACATTAGAAATCAAGGATCAGCGTTTCAATCTTCGCATGCTCCGCAAATAAATACGCTACAGAAGCGTAGCTCATAGGAGGAGACCAGCGACCGGAGTTCGGTGGAAAAATCCGATACCACTCACCGGTTTCAGGAGCATTTCGCTGACGCACGTTCCAACTGTTCCCGTGGTTCCAGGTCCTTTTAGCTGCCGTGTGTAAACCCTGTCGGAGCTACTCGGCCACGCGGTGAGAAAAAGTGAAATAACGTCCGATTAACGCTCGCAACCGAGTCGAACTGAATGCAGAACGGAAAAGCAGAGCCGCGATGCCTGCGAGTAACTGGCTGCTCCTTGGCCGAGGTCCCCACCACGATTTTACTCAGGAGTCAGTGTCACATTTACTCATCGGGCACGAATCCTTCGTTGCCGGCACAGCCGAGCCCACCTTAGCGTACCATCCACGGGTCGTTACTTCGTCGACGCTGGAAATGCCCGGTCATAACTCTTAATGGTTTCACCGTCAGGAAATCCCGGGCGGGGGCGAATCTTCGATCAGGATCGTAAATCGTTGATTCATCGCCCGTGTCTCGCGTACGCGAGGTATGCCCACGGTTCGCTACACGATGGAATCCGCTACAAGACGCGCCGCGATTTCGTTGATTTTCATAAATACGGATCGGATAACGTGCGTTCTCGTGTTCTATGCCGGTTCCCGGTTTCCAATAGTCGGCGCGTGTCGACGCTTCTTGTTCTTTTTCTGCGCTGGCTCAATGTGAGAATAGACACGCGGACGAATAGCATGTCTGCGCACATTTTTTCCTCGCCGTCGAATCTTCTCGCAGTACGCGTGATCGAAAGAAATTTCGCATCGCGCGTGTTCAACGCGAAAAATCGGCTAAACGTCGAGATCAACAATTTTTACGTATCGTTGCAAATTCTCACAGTCGACGTCTCGATTGATGCGATCTAATCGAATACGAATCGCTTAATTATTAATATTCGTGCCTTAATTATTCGATTAATAATCGTGCAGCGCGCGGGCTCTCGTGTCAAGTGTGTATGGGTAATTTTTTATTAATCGTCCATAAAATACTCGAAACGAATGGCACGAATTGTGTGAAGAGTCTGCGGATATATCGCGGCGCAGAAAAGATGAAAAGCTGGGAAAGGGAGGAACAATTAGCGGAGAAATCGCGCGATAATAAACGACGAGCAGCCGTGGATCGGTTTTCAGAACACGTCGACGCGCGTTTCCATGTAATTCGAAGCCATTTGGATGCCCGTGGCGTTCTTCTTGGTCTCTTCCGGATCTTTTTCTTCGTGGTCGCGCGCAAAATCGTGTTTAAATCGTTGGCGCTACGCCAGTGGAAGGCCCCGTCGAAAGGAATGCCGCGTCGCACGTTCGCGAATTGTCGAATCCGTCGAGTCAAAGCCGGTCTTATTGGCTGGTCATTGACGGGTCAAAAGACGCAACGAGGAAGAGCATCGGAGCCAATTAAGCGAAACTGCGTCGCGGATTTGCTCGAGTTCGTCTACTCTTTCCATTCGAAGTCAGTTTTAAATCGCGTTAATCGACGAACCGCCAATTCGGTCAAAGGACACATTCTGCTTTTATTTGTGATCAATTCGCGATCGATGTTACCTCTTAGGCTTCGTCAAGTAACATCACGTTGAAACGGAAGTTACGGTATTAGTTTTCGTAGGACTTTCAAATAGGCAACACAATGAAGATAACAACAATCAAAAGCTGCGAAGAAACGAGACACGTATTCGCGGATCAGTGGATTCAAATTCAATGTCTTCTTAAGCCCGGTACCCATTTGTATTGCTTCACCGGTATCATCGAATCGCTGTGTGTTTGTGTACACGTATACGCAACCATGCGGCATTTGTTCATCTCATCATTGACAAGCAACGGTTATCACCGTTGCGAAACAAATGGTTACACAGCTTTACGATTTATAACAAGCCTGAAGTCACCATAAATGACTTAATAACGATTTGCTTTTGAACCCAATTATCTACAGTAAATTCTCTCTGATTGACGCTGTGCGATTTTGTGCACAAAACTGGACAATTTGGGAAGAGGAGATACGATTGTTCGAGCCTCGTTTTCATAGTTACCGATTGTCAATAATTATAAAAACGAGCCGCAAGGCCCGAACAATCGTATCTCCTCTTCCCAAATTCTCCGTTTTCGTGCGTAATCTGAGCGTCAATTAGGGAGAATTTACTGTATATTGACTAAGAAATATAAACTCTACGTTCTATTACATAATGCGAGTCTTCACGTAATCGTATCTCCGTTGTTGAAAAGATATAATCATCGCGCTTTGAATGGACCTCAACGATGTGGATTCGACGCTATTACCAGTTTCTCTGCAAAAATGTATGTACCGTATGTAATAATAATCTATTGGAATCTCTTCAGGATGATATAAAAATGACGCTAATTAGAACGCTAACGAACGATTAACAAGCAGTTCATATCCTAACACAAGCGCCATCTGTAAATACGTGTGTATCGATTTAATCACAATTTGTCTCAATATGCTTTCTGGTTCGTTGTGCACATCTTATTTACAAATACTTCGATTACGATGATACATGTCATCGTCGTTATGATCTCATTGTGAATTAATTTTTACTATAAGATATTATTATCAGCAATTAATTCTATGACACTGTAATATTTTTTTCGACCACGCAAAATGTAGGCATATTAAACAGGTCATAAACAGCGGATTCTTTGTTTTGTAATGTATTTTTAATTCGAGAAGCATGAAGATGATTGCTATTCTAGCCACGGCAGTCCTTCCTTCTAGGCTTTCAGACTTCATAATTCAGATTGAAGCATGTCATTTCAGTCATTTATCGCGATACTTTGATCTAATGTCTTATAGATTTGTGAAAAAATGTTTCCTGAATTCACGCAACTCAAGAAACGTTTGTGATAAACATTGAATTTATTTCAGTGGCTTGAAATTTATATCATTTTTTATTCGAGCCTTATAGAAACACTAATCCGAGCATTGTTATCCTAATATTTTGCGAATCAGACCTCCAGCTTGCATTTAAAATATTATCATTTAATATTAGTCCCCAGATTTATATGTGTATTGAAGAATATTAGTAACACCCTTAGACCAATTAGGCTATTTTAAACAGAATAAAAGGTTTATAGCAAATTGTTAATTGTAGAGCTTAGAAGCCAATCATTAAGTGCAATCTTTCATTGCAATCCAAGAAATTCTTCATTGCCGAAACATCCGGTTGATAAAACAATATTCTCTGTTATCTGTTAATAAATACATTCGTCTACAACTAAATTCTCAGGGACTTAATTATCTCGGTTTCCATGCTCAGGGATCAGCTTCCGAATCCTCCAATCAGATTCTATGTACAGCTGCGTGTCCATATTCAAAGGCATTAATCCGCAAACAGACAATTACCGCACAATTAGCGACAGTTGTCGTATATCTTACCTGAATGTTGTTCGTGGACATTGTTAGCGACCGGAAGCTCTCACGCTGGAACCGCAGGATTTCCCTTTCGACGCTGATAAACGTTTAGATGCCGGAGATCTTCGCGTTGATTCGTTCGTTTAATTGAAACTCGCGTATTTTCTTTTTGGAATACCCAACCAACGCAATCGGATGATTTAGTGTGTGCCAATTAAGCTAATTTCAAGCTCCATGAACCGCGAGGACTCGAGGCAGATGCAACCTCGATTCTCATTTTCGTGTGCATTTATACCAACTCGCGAGCGTACGTATGATCCCACTTGTCTGCCGCCAAGGGAAAATCCCAGCTTTGACACCGATTATCGCCAGCTGTAAGTTACGCATCTATAATCAGAGCTCACCATTTAATCGCTTACGGTCGACGGCCGACATATTCCCGGAACCACATTTTTAATAAACAACGTACTCGCATGCGTGAAACGATTTGCTGACACTTCTTGTATGATTTAGTTGCGAAAAACGTTAACGGGCCAAAACCACAATCAAGCATATTACGTAGAACTGTGAAAACAATTGTTCGACGATCCAAAGGTATCCTCGTTCGTGTTAAAGCAACCCTTCGGACACTTATAACAACCTAATAGCGCAGCATTCTGTAAGTCTTGCCGTAAATTCTCTACTGTAAAAGCACGAGAAATATAAATATAATATGTCTAGGACATTTTCGTTCAACTATATCCTCTTTTAATCTGTCGCCTTTTATCGTCAATTAATAACAATTCTCATCATGTATTTCTATGTGTCATGTAAATATCGATTTTAGACAGAGCCGTTCGAACTTTTGCATTTCAACTGCTCGTCTCGAAATGATGATCATTTAAAGCCAGAAGCTCTTGAATTCGCTGCCGTCAGCTTCGTGCAAATCTTTTTATAACATTGTTTATAGTTTTCTCTAGCAAAAAAGACAGTACGTTTATGTAACTGCTGATCTTAATGAACGACCCGAGGATAGTCTTGAAGACTTCATAGTTTTCCACCGAATATTTCGTCAGAAAAATCGCTGGGTCGTCGCACAAAAATCACACCGATTTGTGTATCACAGAACGTAGGATGCTCGATCTGCTTATAACTTTCTGTTCATGAAAACGAGACAAATGTTCGATTCATACGTAACAAGCGTTTAAATGCTTCCGGAATAGGTGTTGGAAAATATTGCTCCGAAATAGCCACGAGCCACAAACCACAAAGTGGCTTTTAATCGATAAGAAAATATTTTATCCCCGATTTTCTCAGAAATCTGCCGTATTACAGATTTACAGATTTGTAGATTCGTATTTTTCTCAAGAAAGCATTCCTGGTGGTTAACCGATACTATTGAATCGTTTATTATAGTAGCCGATAATAGACGAAAACAATACTATCATCGTTTTATCTTTTCTCTTGTAGTTAAGTCGCACCTTGATTCCCATTATGTTAACGATCACTTAATTCTGCTTACTGCAATGTGTCACGCGTTCTTTACAAATTCTATAACCGCAATAAGCAAAGCTCTCTTCTCTCTCTTCCACATAATATCTTCTTCTCCAATACCTAATTCAATTAATTCCATATCATTTCGTAGATCGAATCATTAGCATTCTGCTAAATTCAGGATCTCCAAATTCAAATAACCTTGCATCTTTCAGCTCAACAATGCGTAACCTGGTTGGAACTTGAGGCACACGTGCATAAAACTCTTGAAAATATCTAGGTAAATATTCCTCAAGTAATAAAAGACTAATTAATTCGTTAGTAATAATAATAATAATAATAATAATAATAGTAATAATAATAATAATAATAATATTCAATTACAAATGTTATTATTGAATTCTGCAGGATCCGCTTTCAAATTCAATGCTGCATCATTTAAAAGAGCTAGCTTCTGATTTATCGATGATCGTCAGGATCCTTAATGAATCTTATCGTTAGATAACAGTTTTGACTCGCCGTCTTATTAATTTCTTATCAAGCTGCATAATTACTGAATGAAGCTCGTACGGTGTTTACAATCCTTGACAATCCTAAATAATCGTTATTCTCGGAAATAATTATTCCTTAATGTACCGAAATTCTCAGAGATCTTCAAACTTATGTCTAAGACCACATTTGCATACGCGCCGGCGATTATTGATGATATTCGTGTGCCACAGGGTATTGTGTTCGACCAGCGCAAAGAGTTTCCCAAGAATTACGCCGACCAATGCTGAAACGCTTCATAGAAATCGGATGCGTACTCGTTTGCACGGACATGATCGCGTCCGCCACATCGACGAGCATCGATCACTCGGCCAGCTATCAGGTGCCAGTCGTTATATTTTTAAAGTATTTAAATATAGCCGCTGAATAATCGTGGTTTCAATGATTTTCACGTGCCCAGAATTCGGCCAAGAAAGTGGACGTCGGAAAGGCGTCGGAATTCCCCGGTAATAAGAGCTCGCTGAAGATGTTGGAGGACATCACGGCGAAAGTCTGGAGAGTTTTGCCGGTCGTCGAAATTCCTCGGAATTGGGTGCTCGCTTACTGTATGAAGCAAACGGAGATCTTCGAACAAGTGGAAAAAGCCGGTATGCAGTGCCAGTACGACGGTATGGACTGGGATTGCACGTTCATCGAATTGGTAAAAGTCGATGAAAATAACGGAGAGTAACAATATTATACGGCGCAAGGTTTCCAAGATCGTTTTCGCGCTTTCTTTTCGAAATGATCGACTTCACATCGTTTTGATCGACTGGTATACTGGGACCACGCGGTCGACTCCAACATGTTTCGCATTTTTGTTACGTTACACGCTAGCTGAGGATAAAATTAGCACGTTCTTCTGCACTTTTTATTCGGGGTCTGTCATCGTCCCAGAATACCAATCGTTTCTGTAAATGTGACTTGTAAGAGCATATTATCCAATGGAATACCTACAAAAGAAATGAGCGCTATTCGTTCTTCGTACGTAATTATTTACAGGATTGGTAAGCTAGCATGTTTGAAAGTTCCTGGCCAGTTTCTGTTACAAGTCGATGGAAAAGCAGTCTCGACGATCGCAAACGAATAACATTACGCTGAATTATTACTTCAGCCGATACTTAGAAACGAATAAAAATTATCGACGCAAGGAAAGTCGTTTCGTGCGATTGCTTTAATATAATCGATCGGGAAAAGTAGAGTGTATGATGTAATATAATTGAAAAATATCGTGCAGAAGATGGAATAAAAGATCGCCTAGACAGTGGAAATTCCCGAAAGACCGTGAAAATAATCGATAATACTATGAGAGAAAAATCGATTGAGGAAGACTGCTATCAATATCGCAGCTGAACCACTGCGAGAAAACATTGTTAACTTTAGTTGATGTGCTATAACAAGGAGATTACACGATGTGGGGGAACAGAATAGCAAGATTATTATTTTCCAAGAAATATTGTAATTGTCCAAAATTGGGAAAATGCATTGTTCCTTCGTTAATCGTATCGGCTGGGAACTTTTAAACAACGTTATACCACCATGTATTAATAAAAAATCCATGAGGGTCTTCTTATCAAAAAAACAAATCTCAGAAACGATCTGGCTGGAATTTTTTGCACGCCACGGTAGATGTTTCTTGACTATTAAAAACAAATCAGGACAGATAGAACAATTAAATGGGTATTCTAGAGAAAACAGCTTATTTTTATAACAATTTCCCGCAGATAAAAATACAAGATAAATTTACACGTATTTTAATAACATTTATAATTCTTTTTATTGAAAAAAAATTTAATTTGGTGTTACACATAAAATATACTGTAATACAAGCAGTTGTAGGTACGTAATTGCTTATGAATTTTGTTTATCTAAAATTAAGGGATGATTTGGCTATAGCAGGAATTAAAATCAATAAACAAAGTTCGTAATTTAGAAAGTGGACTATAGCGACACGTGAAATGGATTTAAAAAGCATAATTGTTTAGTTTATTTCATTGGCTTCAATAAATATTAACGAAATACATACATTTACAATCAAATAAATTATTAATGGTAAAAAATGAAAGAAATTTGCCAATATGGTAATAACTCTCATTAATTGTACTTTTCTTTGCAATATTTTATTTGAAATATCAGGGAGGAGGGCGAGACGATTTTAATATGGGAAAGATAGTCTCCTCGTTTCACGAACTTTCGGATCAAAACTTGAGATCGAAGATGCTTCGCGGTGCCGAAACTTGTGGCAAATTATGGCAACAATATAAAGCTGTTCAAGAGGAAAGATTAATTCGAATGCGATTAACCGTGAGCTTGACAAATACAAAGATGTAGTTTGCAACGAACACAATTAAGATCAGTCCTATATTCACTGAAATCGTACCTTTTAAGGCGAAAAGCAGAAGGAAACGACATTTGAAAAGGAATAGACGTTCGCGAGGCTCGCAAAGCGTTTGGAAGAGATCGAACGAGAAGAAAAACCGAAAACAATCTAAAGAACTGCGCGAAGCTTTATTTGCTGCCGAAAAGATTAAACAGTTTCAACAATCATTGATGAGCAAATTTACAGAACTCGAGAAAAGAAGTAATAAAACAAATTAAAGCCAATTCGTTATCATCGGTTATATTATCGCGCCTCTGATACCTTAATTAAATTAAATTTACTTGTCAAGCTCGCTTAGCTTTATGTTCAAGCGATTAAATGTTTCATAAATATTAATTTTCGAAAAAATTTACTTTGCTGAAAAGTTTAGTGACACTGCTTTCATTTTACGTTTAAATGTTATTTTTTGCAGAACATTTGAATTCTGAGGAGCAAAATGAACTGGATCGACTACATTTAACAGTGACAACGAAAACACGCGACGATTTAGAAGAATATCCGTTAAATGAAGAACGAACGGAGTTAACTCGTCTCCAAGAAGTCGGATTATGCATATCACGGGAAACTGCAAGAGCCTGCGAATCCATTGTCCTCGACGCCGTCGAAAAATTAATATGAAGAAATATATGTATACATATAACCTTGAAATATGAAATATCTCAGAAAGTTTTGCCGCCTATCGTAACAAACGAACAAACAAACAGAAACTCTCACGACGAATAAGCATCTATCTTCAAAATACCGCGTGACAGCAAACGATAGCGTGAAAATAAAATCACAACAAATGACATGAATTATTTGACTCACTGAATATACATACCCTGTTCTAAATGCTACTACAATATTGCTTTCGTCACGCCTGCTTTCTTGACAATCTTCATTGCTTTCAATTAATCGTGTCTGGACAGCGTCAACAAATTACACAATTTTGTGGATAAAATTTTGAAATACTCGCATATCAATAATGATCGTCTCCGTAACAGGTGCGAATGTATTTTTCACACAGCTAATACACGTGTAAATATCAAATATCTGTGTAAATATCAAATATCTGTGCTATCTTGTATACATACGAAGATTGAGTACGTAACATGGATTTAGGATTGGCATTAATGTTATCAATAATTGACGTTTACCAAATCATAAGTGTACCCGTTCAGAATATGTACACTGGCATTGATAAAGCTGACACGAATCTTGTTCAAGCATATCCTATACTTGTACCATCGAACTTGGTAAATAAGTATGTGTACAACACCGTTTATAATTATTCGCACGACTTTAAACAATTAAATGATGCAACATTATGCACACTAGATAAAATCATTCTATATTGCAAGCCTGCAGACAATTTGATTGCCTGCATTTTATAAGATCTGCAGTTCTAGGAATTACATAGCTTACTGCCTGATTCATCTAACAAGCTTCAGGTGTATATAAACCTGTTATACAACAAAACATTTTTTTTTTAAGTAACGTAGGTATGCTTTCCTTGCAAAAACGAAATAAATTGTACAAAATTCTCTTGTTCAAATAATTATGGACGGTATTGTATAATGTATAAAAAAGGACATCATCCGGTTACAAAGGATTAAAAACGTATTGCATCTCAGGATTAAATAATTTGAAAAAATATATTTTTTGTCGTACTTAACACTGAAGAGATTCGTATGTAATTTAGTAGAGATATTTTTCTGTTGAATCGCTAATTTATGACTTTCACGAATAAGCAACGTATCGTGTTTGCTATTAAGCATTTCGGATGTAAATTGAATCCTTCTGCAAGATCATCTGAACGTTTCGTCAATGTTACCAGAATTGATATACAGATACCTATTGTTATTTGATCCCTCGACGAAGCTAAGTATAATATTAACGAAACGGTGAGACATTCTTATCAAACAGAGGCTAAAGCCTCAACGACCCATAGCGTAATCACACCCACGCGAATGCAAATATTTCTTTATTTGTGTAAATAACAGCTACAATATTTGCTAGGTAATTCAAATCTGCTTGAAGGACACGCTTTTTCTTGAGAAATTACTTGACAATGTGAACGATTGCGATAGTTATACTTGCATGTTCTCGAAAATGATCGAGAACGAGTCAATGAAATCCATCTCTGCTATAATAAAAAACGATACAATGGACAACGGTATTCAGGGGTTTAGACAAACAGTACAAGATTGTGTATTGTGGTGGAAGCTATTCAAACGCTTCAACAAGAACGCAAATCCTCGACATGAACTGGGCAAATGTTTGTTTCAAACAACTTCGACTGTAAGCGACATTGTACAATTGGAAAGATAGTGGCAAAACTTATAAAACCCTTCTTACAAAGTTAATTCACTTTTAGAAATGTAGAGAACCAGTTCTAGATAAAATTAAATTCTTACTAAGTCCCACTAAAGAAGAATGAACATATTGTTTGGAACAACGTAAAACTTAAAAATAATGGAACGCGGATGGAATGAGTAATGTTATTACATAAAAACAATGCATGATAAGGTAATAAACAACTATATTTCTGTATAAAATGGAACAAATCGCATACACATAGTCATTCACATTCTTAATTTACTTCTTTCGTTAACGACAAGAAGAAATAACAATCTAATTAGTCGTCGCTGTATTATCGCTGCGACTTAGACTTTTTCTATGATATTCGCTAAGTTTCACGCGATCACAAAACAAATTGCTAAAACATTGTTGAATTTTCAACAACGAAGATCAAGAAGTAAAATCTCAACTAGAACGTTGTCACTCTAAATACTTTTCTTCCATCTTAGGTTGAAAATCAGTCACAGCTTCCTTGTTCTTAACCCATATGTTGAAATCATTGCCACTTTTGTAATGACGAACAATGTTAAAAATACCTACTATTATATACAGCATTGCTATCACAATGAAGTAACCCCCATAGATAAAATACTAAAAAGAAAAATGTTCTATTTATAGGTATATAAATACTTTCTTGGTTATTAAAAAATACACAATAATTATTTTGTATCATGTTATTTGAGTGTTTAAAGGTTATAATAATAAGAACAAAATTTGTCACCTGACACCTCAGAGTTAATCCTAAGTTTTCATTCAGTACAATGGCTGTCAATATGCTTTGTAATGCAAGTGCAAGAAATGTATTTATTCCAAATACTAAGCCATAACTATCCTCTGATATATTCTTTGCAACTTCAAAACTAAATATAAATAAATAAGTTAATGGAATCGTTTTATGGTAAAGACAAATAGTTACATTAATGAATAATTTTACCTTGCAACAGTGATCATTGTATGATAAATAATTCCAAATACAATGAAAGAGAGGTATAGCAACCAAATATTA